GCACTGCCCGCAGCTCCGCTCCCCCGCGGCCTCCGTGCCGCGGCGCACACGGTAGCAGGGGAGTCCAGCACCGGGGAGCTTCCTCGGCCTCCATCGCCGGGAAGTAGGGGGCAGCGCGACTGAAAATCAGAGCGTTCCCCCGGGAGCGGCCGCGCGCCGCCCCGCGCGGTGCAGCCTTTACCGGCACACGCCGCCCCGCACTGAAACTGGGCAAATAAACAGGACTGGTGCTGTGGCCTCCGCTCCCACACTGGTTTATGTTATATTTTTTCCCCCCTCACCTGGCAGTAGTTTTGCCTTTCTGAGTATCAGTTCGAGTTGGAGGGAGCTTGAGGCTTGTCTTTGCTGCTGCAAGGCTCTGTGCTGCTGTATAATACAAATGAGTCCTGGTGTCTGGGTGTTTTGAGACTGACAGTCATTTGTGGAGCATCAGGCCCTTTTCAGGATAGAGCACAGTGCAGGGTTAGGAAGATGGTTCCTAATTAAGATCTTCTTATTTTATATGTCTAATATTACTCAATATCCTGCCATTCAGCCAACGCTTTTTTTTTTCTTCTCCCTTTTTCCTTTTCGAAAAATTCTCAGCCTCTGGTAAAGGCTGTGGTTATGTTGCCATGGCACAGGACAGTGCAGTACATGGACTCTTGAATCTCCAATGTTATGAGAGTTCTTAAGAGATTTTTCTTGGCCAGATCCTTTTAACAAACAGTGCTAGTGGTTCCTTGTAGCACTGCCACTTAAGCAAATATGTGAACTTATAATGGTAGCTGAATAGGGTCATGGGGGCTTTGTTTCAGGGGTGGTGTTTCTGTTGCCCAGGCTTGTGTGATTTAGGATGTAAAGATGTAGATTTATTTATTTAAAAATAAATAAATAAATGTGAGGGCTCTTGCATTGTTATCAAATTAGAAACTTGATGTTCTCCCTTTCATAGATGATGCTGTCCCTACTTTGGGAAAACATTCAGTGTTCTCTCTAATGCTTGATAGTGACTCTGCTGAATCTTGATCAGTCCTCTCCATTCATACTGCAATCAAGTTCAAATTACTCTCATACTTAAAGCTATCTGTGGTCTTCTTTGTCCATCTCATACATCTTCATTTCATACCGTACAGCTTGTTTTTTTTCTGTTTATTTTGATGTCTGATACTTTTTTTTTCCCCCACAAATAGGAAAACCTGTTACCAGGTGGTTAATGTCACAAAACTCAGTAGAACTATGACTAGCTTCAAGTGGTCCTGCCTGTACTTCCTGTGCCTTTGCACTCTACAGACTGAACCGGAGTCTTGGCGATGCACTAATTCACTTACAGCAGTGTATTTTGAGCAGGCTTTACCAGACAGGGCCATGTGCCTTTTGTCTGCATTGCCTGTTGACAAAATATAATTTCCTGCATTATTCTGAGAGAAACAGTATCAACAAGCTCCAGTGTCCATTCATAGTCTCCACCATGGGTTTTGTAACTGCCTTAGGTAATTTGACTACCCATAAGCGAGCAGGTTTTCTAATCCTGAGTGGTGGAGGAGGATATACAGGCCCAACTGAAAACCATCTTGAATACCCCATCTTATATACCAAGCATATCTGACCAGCCTTGCAGTAAACTGTTGCCATGGATGTTATATGGATCAAATATATTCGAATATATATATATTTATATATAAAATAGGCACCTTCCATGAGGTAAGGGAAGAGAATTAGTATCTGGGAGTATAGTCTGTCCTCTTAATAATAAGATGCTGCATACTCTGCAGTCCAAGGCATGTCCCTATCACCCGGTGCGTATTGCTCTGGCAGGAGGAGCGTCTCAACACCCATCAGTCATGGGCAGCAGGAAGAGAACCCTGTAACCTATTTTGTCACCTTACCAAATGTTGCACTGAAGATATATGGGAAAAATCAGCCATAGTCTCCATATTGTTTTTACTATAGTGTTATGATTTGTGTGTAGTTGGTGAAGGGGAATTTTGTCAACTGTTTGTTCTGGGCTGGCTACCACCTGACAGTAATGGCCTAAATGTCTGTTATTCCTTGAGATTAAAAATGGTAGGGTATGGAGTAGCCAAAAGCCACAACCTGGAGAGTTCTAAAACACCAGTATTTTCCAGTTGTTCATCAGCTGGATTACTTGGTGGTCTAAATTATTTAGCATAGACTACTGATCTCTCTGTTAATAGCAGATGTATGGAGTGGTTACCAGGCCACAGTTGCAGAATGAGGGGACTAAATGAGACATGAGCTGTTAGCTACAGAAGTACAGTCCAGATTTATCAGGGTGACCTTGAATTGCTGCAACTGGAACCTCTTAGGATACTGCAGCTCTGTTGTCAGGTAATACCTGTTTACTCTATAAATATCTGGAGAGAATTAATGTTTCAAGTCCCAGGGCTGGGGCAGGCGGAAACTCCTCTCCTCCCCCCAAGATACAAGAAGTTAATTAGCGTTTCATTAGATAGTGTGTGCCCAGCAGGATGTTGTGCAGCAGGAATAAAGACTAAATGGGTTGAAAGAAAGCCAGTGGGAAAATGTCAGTGTAAAGGTGGTTGTACAGTGGCTTTATCTGTATATGTGTCACACTTGAAATACATGAGCACTCAAAATGCCTGTTAACTCTCACTATTTTCATCTGTTTCAGATATTGCTGTTAAAGTGTGGGGAGAAAGACAGCATAGCTTAAAAAAAGACAATGCCGAGGGTCCAGTGCTTGTCTGGCTCTCAATATATAACAAAAAGGGGAGAAATATCACGTGGTTTCCTTGCATGAAGAAAGGATCTAATCTTGTGAGAGCCAGGAGAGATAGCAAAAGGAAGTTGGGAATGCCCTTCTTTTCAGGCTACTGAAGTACAGCAGAATGATGGTCTCAGCTAAATATCATTAAATGGTCTCAGCAGAGCCAGACATGTCAGCAATATAGTCTTTGGACATCTATCTTCTGAAAAACATTCTTAAACTTTGTATTTAGTTTGCTAACCATAAAATTTCCTTTCTCCTCTATTCTCTGAGGTATTGTGTTAAATGCTGCGAAACAAAAGCACTGTTGTCTTGTGTTAAAACTGACATAATTTATAGTGGAATAATGCTGTTCTTAAAGCACATATATATTTCTTTTAATCAAAATTTTGAATCGCCATTCACAAGATGTTTTCTCTACCACATTGATCAAAATAAAGTGATTTACAAAGTCATTATTGTCGCTGTGTTTGTTTTGCTGTTGTCTTTGTTAGGTTACTGTCCACAACTGCTAGTGAGAATTTGGGCTCCATTAAGCTGAGCACTTATGCAAACCCTACCCTCCTTCGAAAGATTGATTCTAAAATGGCAGTTTCAATTTGGTGGGATGTGCTTCGCTAGTGAGTGTCAAACTCTTAGCGACTGGTGCAGAACAGGAGAAAAACTTGGTCTGTTCCTTTACTGGCTTCAGTGAGGAGTGGTTTGAGAAGCAGTAATAAGACCGTGCCTGTCAGCCTGTGCATCTTGCAGTCACTGGCCAAGGAAATGGTAGGAGAGTTAGCAAAAAGGAGTTCGTAGCAAAGATAGAAGTGGGGAGGCTGGAGGACAGAGGCAGCAAAGGGAAAAGCACAAAGCTGCAAGATGATGTCAATAGCAAAGGCCAGGTCCAGAAGCCTCTGATCTGAATTTAACTTGCTGTTTAGGTACTCACTGATAGTCCTGAGTCTGTGGCTGGTAAGTATATTTTAGCTGCTCAGTTTGAAATCGGTGCCACCTTTGGTTATTAAATGCTCAAAGTATGGTAAATTGTAATGGTAACTTACTTCTGTATAGCTTTTAAGTCTTTAAGCCATAAAAAAGCTCATTCTCAGTTCTATACCTGTGACAGTTGAAGAAATGCTGGTTTTATTAGAATAGGGTTTATGAGTATGATTTTCTAATTTACAGCAGTTTTAAACTCCCTATAAAGTAAAATGCTCTTTTAAATGTACGATAGCCACTCTAGAATATCCTAACGCCTAAAGCTTGTGCGTTTGTTGACCTGTGAGTCTATAGGACATCATAACAGGTCTGGTATTTCTCTGGGCTGCTTCTGTTGAACTGAATGTCTATCTGCTTCCACAGTGAGACCCAATTTGCCAATTATTAGAGTGCAGCTGGTGGCCTTTCCTTTTGATGGTAGTGCTGACTCAAGTAGTCCCAGCCCCTTGCTTCTACAGCACTGCTTGGCTGTGCTGGTAAAACTGTTACATACACAATTGCATTGGGAAGCTGGCTTGGATTTTTTTCCCCCTCCCCTCTGTCCTCTCTCTCTCTCTCTTTTTTTTTTTTTTTTCTTTTTTTTTTTCTTTTTTCATTTTTTTAAACTGCCTAAACTACAGAATTACTCTGAGTTGAATTTTCTGCTGGGACTCTATTCTATGCGACTATTATGTTTCAGGGACTACAGCAAGCTCAAAGACATTTTTCTATAATACATGACCTGCAGTATAGTGAATGGTGAAAACTTCATCAGTCTGTCGGGGCTTGGGGCAGTGGGGGGAGAACAGTAAAACATACCTTTAAAAACTCCTCTTCAACTATCATAATACGCATTTCTCCAAAGAGCAAAAACTCTCTGGATTCAAAGTTATCTATAATGAAGAACATTTGAAGCTACGAATTTGTTTGAACATGCTGAGTCACTTTAGGAAGAAATGCTGCTAAAATACTGAGTAACAGTAGTTCAGGTCTCCTGATGGTATGTGAACTTTCTGACTTTCAAATCTAATCTGAAAACCCATATTCCTTCCGTGTTTACCAAAATATTTTCCTGCACTTCCTTTCTCTCATACCTGGAATAAACTGCCCTGCTTCCTTGGTGCTTTCTTAATGGCTTCCACTGTAATCCTACTTATCCACAGTCTCTTTCCTGTCTTCCAGGATGAATCTATGGGTGCAAAACGGGCTATTTTGCAGTGCCTAGTTGTTAATAAGCTAGATGCAGTTTTTTTATCACATTCCTGTAATTTTAGTTAACACAGCAAGGATACTGATCTCCAAGGCTACTCGGATGTCTGTGCTCTGGGTGTCACAGGGAGATAGAGCAATCGGGACTGAGTTACATATGAATGCTGCCTTTAATGCTTGTTTCCTCAGGCCATGTCATAAGGCAAAAGAGATAAAATTAAAAAATAAAGCTACTGAATTTCATGAGTTCCATGTTAAATCTTAAACTTTGAGACTTTCTCATGCTGCAGCTTGTACAGTGAGCTGTTTGTATCTTGCAGATAAAGAGAAGGAGAAGATAAAACTTGAGGAAGATGAAGCAGCAGCTGCCAGCACTATGGCAGTCTCTGCTTCCCTTATGCCACCCATTTGGGACAAAACTATTCCTTATGACGGAGAGTCTTTCCACTTGGAGTACATGGATCTTGATGAGTTCCTTCTGGAGAATGGAATTCCTTCCAGCCCTACTCACCTGGATTTGAACCAGAATCCACTCTTGCCTGTGGCTGAGCTGGAAGGAAAGGAGTCTGCCAGTGCTTCCACTGGCTCACCTGCATCATCATCATCTACTGCAGTTTACCAGCAATCTGAAGCGGCCTCCAGCACAGGTAGAGGGAGCAGAATGGGGCTCTGCAAGGGCTTTTTCTTGTTCTTGTATCAAAAAGTACCCACCCCAAGAGTAGGGGACATGTTCAAGCTGCGAAGCTAACCTCAAAATGTTAACAACATATTAACACATGTCAGTTCATGAAGATGCTGCCTCCCCCCTCCCACAAGATGCATTGGTGTCCCTGAGTACGCAGTTGTTTCTCCTTTGAAAGCAGAAGAGCTGAAACACCAACAAAAAGTAGCTGCTTTGCTGCTATTGTCAATGTAGTGCGAAACTGGACAACATGTGGAGAACATGGTGTCGAAGATGATAGGTTATTTTACAACCGATTTGATGGTTTGTGATAGGTCATTCCCTCCACCAGTTTGGTGAACCGGTTTGGTTTGCTTGGGTAGTCTTATGCCCACTTAATATACCTCAAATAGCAATGCTTAACAGGAAAATAATGAAGCAATCCTGCCTTGTCAGCTTGTGCAGTGTGGTAACCCTCTTCTGGAAGAGGTTTGTTTGGATGCAGTTTGTTCTGTTGCGCTTTGAAGTGGGAATGGTGGAACAGAATAAAACAAAACTGTAGTTAAGTGGTGCTCAGAAACTTGCGATCTCCATGAAAAGTATGGAGATCTGCTCTGCAGGGGAAATTAGCAGCTCAGTTTGTTCAAGTTTTGGTCCCAATAATGATAGCCCTTTAAATTTAGGATTATTTTATGAGCAGGCTTCATGGGAAATATTTTTCTTGGTGATTCTTCCTCTTTGATTCAAAGAGAGAAACATAAGGTGTAGCTTCCCCCCCCGCCCCGCTCAGTTTTTTAAATTTTATTTTTAGCCAGTAGCGTATGAAAACACTTGTTTGTTGGTCTCTACTTCAGATTGCATTAGCATTTGCAATCCATGTGTATGAGGTTTTTGCTGAAGAAGTTTCAACTCTGTGCCACACCTGTCTGCTTCTGTCTGTTGGCTTGGCATATCTTCCTAGAGCTTGTATTATTATAGGTAAGCACACCTTAGAGAAACAATAGTGCTATTAACTATTGCCTCCTGTAGGACAATAGAGGTACCAAGTTGGCTTCAGAAATACTTTATTTTATCCTGCTCAATATATTATAACTTTTCCTGTTTTTGCTAGAGTCCCCTCCACAAAATGAGAGAAATACTCCCAGCCCCATTGATCCTGACTGTGTAGAAGTTGAGGTGAATTTTAACCCTGACCCTGCTGATTTAGTGCTGTCCAGCGTGCCTGGTGGTGAGCTCTTCAATCCTCGCAAGCACAAGTTTACTGAAGAGGACCTGAAACCGCAGCCTATGATCAAAAAGGCCAAGAAGGTTTTTGTCCCAGATGAGCAAAAGGTAACAGTTTATCACTGCAGACTTTTAGGGCCTCAGCAAAGCTTTTGGGTCTGCTAATGTGCTGTACCTACGTGGTCGGGCTGAAGTGCTGCCAAGAACAGAAGCAGCAAGTCACTTGCTGTTTAGTTGGTTTGGTATAATGGGCTAATCACTGGCCAGGAGCAACTAGGTGTTATACATGGGAATTACAAAATCTGTCAAGTCACATCCTTGTTCACTGCATTTTTTGAAGGCCTGTGTATGCATTTGCTAAGCATTCTGTCCGATCCAGTCTTAAGCTTTCCATGGAAGTTGATTCTCGAATTAAAATCAAGTAAAGAGGGCATTTCAGATGGACAGCTTCTTAGTAGCCAGGTTTTTTAATCTCCTTAGTTCTAGCCTTGTCCTCAATTCACCCTGAGAGAAGCCTCACATAAGGATGAAACCTTGCAGTACTGTGTAACCTATGTTCTGGTGTCTGAGGCTTGAAACACAAAGAAGATTCTTCTTTAGTGCAGCAGTTAGTGTGACTGCCATTGCACAACTAAAACGTGTCTGTTTGATACAAGATGGCAGATTGACAGACTGGCATCTGTTTTTTGTTTTTTTCCCTGCAGGATGAAAAATACTGGACGAGGCGAAAGAAGAACAATGTGGCAGCAAAGCGCTCCCGTGACGCTCGGCGATTAAAGGAGAATCAAATCACAATTCGGGCAGCCTTCCTCGAGAAAGAGAACACGGCCCTGAGGACGGAGGTCGCAGAGCTGCGCAAGGAAGTGGGGCGATGCAAGAACATAGTTTCTAAATACGAGACCAGATACGGACCCTTGTAAGCACACCCCTTTTCCTTGCTAGGGCTCCATGTTTTAGCCTCTTAGACTTTTCTGCCTTCTGTAGAGACTCCCAGAAATAAAGTTTGTGGAGGCTTTGCATTTTGCATCTATGGAAAAAAAAAAAAAAGTTTCTGTTGGCACAACTTGTTCAGGCCCTTTCCTGATCTTGTGTTGCCAAAATTTTAAAGTGTCAATATACGTCTTTGTTATTAACCAGATAGAGCACTTTCTAATGTATGAGAGAACAGATGGACCGTTCTAGAGGAATAGGAGTGCATCTTTCCTGACCAGACAGGACTCTTGCTTTCTGTTCTAATCTCCATTTTAAGTGGAGAAAGAGCCCACGACTCTGGTTCTTGTGGATGGGTGGCTTTTGTTTGCTTGTTTATTTTATTTTATTTTTTCCCTGCCCCTTTTCACTGCCCTGGTTGAACTGTAAAACAGTTTCAACATGTAAATAAATGTTGCTGGGCAGCATTATGAAATAATTTTCTCTCATGTTTAGGGGCAGTAGAAAGCACTTGAGTGCTTTCACCTTTCCCAGAGAAGGACTCTGCTCCTGCTCAAGAGAAGTAGGGGAACCTTTAATATAGAGAATATTCAATATCCTGTAGAAACAGAGGTGTCATTAGGTTAAAGAACATGTGTTTATGCAGACCATAGCCAGTGCATTGCTGATAATACTGCTTAAACATTTTGGTAGGATCCAACTCCGGATACCCTTCAGAAATGCAGAATAGAGAGCAGTAGAGTTTGCCCTTTTTGCAGATACGGACAAAATAATTTGACTTTTAGGTTATCTTATTCCTCTCTTTCCCCAACCCTCCAAAGAGAGACTTCTCTATTCTTGCATTGCTGATGGTTCAGCCTGTGAAAACTAATTGGGAAGTAAGGGAGATAATGTCATGTAAAGAGAAGGTGGGGGGTAAGAAGTCTGGCTCACTTAGGCAGGACCTGTGGCCCATCTGTTTGGGAACTGCCAAAACATTATGGTTTAGAAGGAGAGGGATTTTTTGGATGTCATTTTAAAGTAACAGGTAACCAGACACCATCACTTTACTGCACCTTCCCCATTACACAAGAGCTTGCAAAGGACTCATCATCCTTTCCCTTGTGAATATGCGAAGGACAAGCCCCAGCCCCTCTAAACTTAAACAGCTTATTCCATGTAGCTGCCTATCTCCTCTCTCCATGCCTGCTGACTCTCTCTCCAGCAAGTTTCCTGCTACAAAGTTATCACATAACACTTCTCCTTGTGGAAGTAATTCATTCTGAGCACCAAGCGCTGCTTCAGCAGTGTGTGGTGTTAAACTGTTCTGTGTGATGTTGGGACCTTCTCTGTGACCTCCAACTGCAAGAACCAGAAACTTGAGCAGAACTATCTGTCTAGAAGCCATCCTAACATAGTGGCTATGTTAGGATTCCTAGGCTTTGCTTCCTGGACTTGTACTTATATTAGGGTGTAAATGTAGGACAGATGATATTTAGGCTAACTTCCAGCTCCCCTACTGAGACCAGTGAAGAAACCCCAGCACTTTTTATATATATTTTTTTAATACTAAAGATTTCTTGCCTAGCTTGTCTTTTAAATGCAACATGGAAATTGGAGACCAATTGTATGTTGACTTAAGCAAGTGGAGAAACAGGCTTATTGAGAATGTTTAAGTAAACATATACTTTGAACTATTTTCCCCTCTCTTATGTTCTAATTTGACCAGAATTGCTCTTCCTGCAGTGTTGGTCTAATTTCTTTCAAACATACAAAAATTGTCACCCTTTCCGCAAGGGGTTTTCTCTCCCAGGGTGGTGTGTGGTGGTAATGGTGGGATGTATGTTATAAATAAATAGTCACACTTAACACTTTGCTTTGTTTAAAGTGACTTATCTGATTCCGAGTGATGCAACTTTAAAGACTTATAAAAACAAAGAAACTAAAAAGCACACATGAATCGCCAGTCTTCAGAGTGAGCGTGAAATCTGTGAGGTGTCCCAACACAAACAACTGACGATGACCCTGCCTGCCTGCTTGCCTGCAAGTACCCCATCTGAACTACCCAGGGCTGGGCATGATGACAAGTGCAAAGTCTCCTTAATTCTGTATATGGCTTTCTTATCTGTCTCTCTCACTGTAACTATGAACTACAATAAGCTTGCTTACTGGGGTTTTGTCAAGACACTCAAAGTTCGTTTCTCCAAGTCTGTTGACAACCTGTGTGAATAGTGACTCTTTGTTCCAGCGCTTGAGTGGCGGAAAAGGGGGAGTTTTACATGGAAGTGGCTCTATGTATTGAGAACTGCTATATATAGATGTTTCTTTTTCCCTGCAGTAAATACTGCAGTTCACTTCTGGTACAGTGTAGCATCCTCTATTGCAGATGCAGAACTGAAGGCTCCAGGGAAACAGCAATCTATAAGGTGTAAGTCTTTCAGTGCAGGAAAATACAGCAGATATATTTGGAACAGGCTAGAAAGCACCACCATGTGCCACACAAAGAGAAGTAATAAGCTCCTAGCAGATGACTCATGTAATAGCAAAACACTTCACTTGCTTTCCTGTCCCATAGTTACACACCTGTAACCTACCTTTTCTTTTGTTTTTCCCACCTTCTTACAAGGCTGACTTTGTTCTATGGTATCTGACTGAAACAAGATCTATTCTCCCTTTACTGTTCAGCAGTCAGGAAAAGGGTGTTGGTCTGAGCTGCTGATCCCCATATCTTAGCAGCCCAGTACTACCCAAGGAGTTAATCACCAAAACAAGACCTAGCCCCCAAATTACAGTTTTGCTCTCCTCCCAGCGGCGGTGGGGAGTGAATCCTTTGTTCATCTGTTTTATAAATCTGAAACAGCCAATGATTTGGGAGTTGCTATGGGCTGCTTACACTATCAAAAACCTTTGCGCTGGTATAGGGGAGTAGGTGAAAGCTCGGACAGATTGTGGGGATGCCTGTTGTGTGTAGAATATGGAGGAAGGAGGTGGAAGTTCCTTTGAGTCTCATCAGCATAACAAGAGTCTACTTTTATTCTGAGGAAGCTCAACAGCTACATTCATGTGGGGAAGAAAGAGTACTTAATTTCTTGGAAAGTTGCATAGGGCCATGCTAGGAGCCAAGATGAAGCTTGGCAGCCAGGAGTGAAAGATGATCAGGGAGCTTTTGCCTGGAGAGTAACAAGCAGCATGCACTTTGAGAAAAATATTCCCGAGCGTTTTTCAGAAGCACAAGTGCCTAAAGAGGAGGCACAGTTAGTTACCAGCAAAGTTTGACATGCAATCAAATACGTTATTATTTATTTTTTAATTTTGCACTTACCTGAGAGATTCTGCCTTTAATTTCATAGTAGAAAGGTGCAGAGAAAAAGAAACAAAGCAGTGGATAATGTTGAGAATTCAAAACAAAAAAAGGCAACCAAACAACTCCAGAAGGCATAAGCATTTTTGAAAGCATAACCATTGTGAAGGGTGTGTACATGAAATGTACTTTTGACTTTTTTGAGTGTGTTTTAATGGACCATGTTGTGATGTCAAAGTGCTTTTTTTTTTTCCTTTTTTTTTTTCTCCTGGATTTAGAAGTATATTAATATGCTTTAATAATTTGGAGCTCTGTAAAGTTCTGAGATAATCATTAGGTAACCTGTTCACATAAATAACCTATCTCCATGTTGCTGCAATGTCAGCATGTATTGCTACTTGTATCAAATATTACAGATTTGGACTGATATTTTTGGTAGGTACTGTGTTCTTTTTTTTTTGTGGCTTTATTTTGGTGTTAGAGGCCTTGCTATGGATTTTTTTAAAACATACTGACAGCATGTAAATATAGCAACTTTTTTCCCCACTATTTGGGTTTTTTTGGTTAGCTTGGAATGGCTGTTCTTAAAAGTCATGCTTTCCATTCAAGTTGCAATCCTAATGGGTGTTATAACTGGACAAGGAGTCACTAGTTCTTCATTTGGGTCTTGCTGTCTTACTGCTTAGGAATATCTTTTAAATACTCAAGTATTGTGTACAGGATTTGTTTTTGCAGTGTGTCATGCTATATCAATAGCAAAATATTTAGTAAGAATAGTCTGTGCAATTCTATTCGCTTTTTGTATTACATCAAAACTTTATACAATGGGAAATAACCATGAATGTTTTAAATATTTCTTTCAGAGAAGACTGTTAACAAACTCTTGTGCTTCCCTGTAGAACAGTGCAGAGGTGCACATTCTGTGATTCACATGTCTACAGGTTGAAAACTGGAAAAATCACACTTTAGGTTGAGAGTTAAGTTGGAGGATATATATATATATATATATATATTTTTTTTTGGCTAAGAAACGGTGTCTTCAAAGATAGCTGAGATGGTAGTAACCCTTCAAAGGAATATAGTTTTTGCAGGGCAATACCTATCTCTGCAAAGCTGATTTCCTCCTTCAGTATTTGCAGTCTCAGGAAGCTAGGCTTGCTTCAGGGCTCTCCGCTCTTTTCAGAATGATTAACTACTTCATCCTAGTCAAAGAAACGAGATTATTATCCTATCTTTGTAAGTTATAACTTTAATACATTTTCCATAGGGGTCTTGAGACCACCAATATTATTTTAACTGAGTTTGAGTGTTAAAAGCTGCTGAGTCGACATCGCGGACATGTGAAGCTCTAACCATGGAACAAGCCCTGTAATAAGCCGTAACGGTGCCTAATGCCAACGTACCCCATTCCAGCTATAAAGGGACCATCTCTAAGGGGAAGGAGTAAAGGGAGTGCGCTCTTCAGCATTGCTGCAGGGATTGCCAGAAAAGGGAGCAGTGTTTGACACAGCTGTGCATCCAGTAAGGAAGAAACTGAAGGCAGTGGTTGTTCCACGCAGACTGTCCAACAGCCTTTGCACAGCGCTTGCTTTCAAAATACACGAACTGTTGATCGTGTCTGTGGCGAGTGCTGTGGTGAGTTGTCTTACGCTGCATCAGAAATAGTCCAGGAATAAATGATGCACAAAATTTAAACAGAATTACTTTCTTGTAATGTAAATGTAGCAACATCTCCTTATAATAATGCACTGTTGTATTTAAAAAATCCTTAGAAGTTCTTTTTATTTTCTTCTTTTCCCCATCTGTTGCCAAGTTCTGCTCCCACCAAAGCCAATAACAAAGATCTCCAACTCCCTCAGGAGAAGGTCTTTACTTTCTGACATGGTGATCTTAAGAGTTAGGAACCACTGGAGTCATGGGTGTCTGCTTTCCTCTGGAGCGCTCTGTGTTGGGACCAGGTGGATGCATCTCAGATCACAGGTTTAATGTTTGTGAAATAACCCCTTCCCACCTTCTACTCATTTACACAAGATCCTGATACACTTATAGTCAGACAATCTGATTAATTTGGCTCTTCTCTATTTTTCCCTTGCTGCTTGATATGTGTGAAAAAGGTGTGCAATAAACTTGTGCTTGGGAGAAGGAATATTTTTTTTTTTAAAAAAAAAGGAAAAAAACTTAAGTTTGGCTTTCTGCAGGTCTTCAGTAACATTTTATGTGTTAGCAGTTCTCTATTTCTCTGCTATTCTATTTGAAAGCCCAAGGTGTTATAGCTGCAAAAATTATTTCCAGCATTATCTGTAGAATTGATACAGCTGGTGCCAATTCACTTCAAGTTGGGAGGTGCAGTAGAAAACAAGCAGCCTTGGGAATACTGTAATATAATTATTTGCTATGGAAAAATATTTGTGTAGATAGCAAGGAGGGGGGGAGAAAAAAAAAAAGACACAGAAAAGAGCACTGCTGCTTCAGTCTTGTAAAGATTTTCAGCTTCACAAGGTCCTGTTCCTTGTGATAAGATGCCTTCATTTTTAGCAAGCGGAGGTATCACAGACCAGATGGGCTTGTGCTTGTCCTTAGAGCTTGAGCTGATAAGCTGAAGATAAGAAATGCAAAGTTATCTTAATATATTAAATCTAATACTTTTGGTAGCCTACATCTAGGTTCATAAACAGCAAATTATTTTTGTTAAGGCTAGTGTCATGCCTTTGCAGCACTACAGGATCCCAGCTAGCTTTGTATTTGTGGGGGGGGGGGGTTTTTTTTTTTTCCCAATATATATAATATAAATATACACATACATACATGAAATTCCTCTTATCTGTATATCTACCAGTGTAACATGATAAAGATAAACCCTCAGTGAAAAGTTGAGAAAGAGTAGATAAAAATAAGTCTAAGCCTAACTAAACTCCTGTGGAGATGTTACTACAGCGCTAAGTGAGAAATTAAAATGCATTACTATTTGGTAATGCAGCTTTGTGATAAAGAATGTAACTTGTTGGTTTGGTAGTTGGTTATTCCTTACAGTGGATCACTGTTGGAATGCAAAACCCTCAGGGGAAGTACAGATAGGAAAAAATACAGATACCTGGCAAGGATGACAAAGAATGAAAGCAGAAATATAGAGAGTAAAGCAAGGTACTGACCTGAACCTGACTGCTAAAACTGAAGTTTCACCATTTCCAGTTTTGGGACACTTTGGATCCCCTGAGTTTGGCATCATGGAGAAGACAGGCCCTTGATTAGGTTTTGAGAATCTCTGTGTTCCCATTTGCACAGTTCAGAAGGAAGTGAAAGGGCCCTAAAGCCAAGTAGGAGGGTTACTGCAGAAAGGCATGACAAATAGATGTTGCTGTAGCAGCGTGCTGTCCCACTGAGACCTGTCCTGCCTGTATGAAGCTGTATAGGATAGTGCTGTGTCATGGGGAAATGTATCTGAGGCCCCAATATTTTAATGCCTCAATTCTGCTGCCAGTTCTGCGTGGGATGAGCCTTGTATCTGTACAAAACCACGTGGACTCAACAGGATCTGTTCCTGAACGTGAAGCTCTGCCCAGTCAGTCGGCTGCAGAATTGTGCCCTTAATGTGTGATCAGTTGTAGTTACATGGCTGTTTATAGTAACTGTCAGTTGGGTGCCTATTATGTAGCCAAAACCCTTGTTATTTCACTTCTCCCAACTAAAGCATGAACAGAAGCTCTTTGCTGTGCAACATCTGTTTAAAAAAATAAAATAAAGATGTAATTCATATTTGTCTAGTAACTTAAGGCATGTGATTTTTGGGCCGTGGGTCTCAACAGACTTTGCTCATGTACCTGCCTGAATGTTTTCCGAGATCCGCAGCCGTGTCTCAGTATGAAGGTATGGTGGGATCCGTTTACCTGAGCGAACGGAGTAGCGGCGCTCGCCTGTCCCAGCGCAGGGGGCTGCGCGCTACTGGTCAGGATCATGGAA